TGGTGTGCTCTCTGCTCCCGGGCTCTGCTAGACTCATGCCTCTGATCCTTCAGACCCCGCCTAAGGGCCCCCACCCCGAGGTGAGCTGAGGCCTCCCGGTGGGCTCCTCTGTGCCTGCTTCCTCCTGTTTCCCAGGGGTCTGCCTCTGGTTTGGGTTCCTTTGGTGTCAGGGTTCCCTGAGGGTCTCTTAGTGCCCTCCCCGCTCTGTCTCGTTTGTGCTTGAGCCCTTGGGACGCATAGTAGGTGTCCCACAGATGTGCTGAATGGATATAAAGTAAACTTATTGCTTGGAAATACATGTGATGCATAATATCTGCTTGACACCAAAATGGTTAATAAATTGAGCCAGAGTATAATTCAAACGTCTTATGCTATGAAGCATCCACCTTGACTGATTCTTGGTCTATTTCTCAGATTTGTTTCTGTCGTATACATGTAAGCTCAGGGAGGAGGAATCAGGCTGGTAGTTTATCTTAGCTGAATTTTGTTTTTGTTAAGAATAAGTGAAAATGCACAGTTACATTTTGGTTTTTTTCTTGTTCAATGCTATAGCAACAATAAAATTTACCAAAAAGTCAGCCATAATCCTACTGCTCTAATTGTCTTTCATTTTTTAAAATCCTTTTTCAGTTCTTCTGTCTATATGCTTCTGTATATTTTATATCATTGTAATCACAGTCTATGCAAATTTGTATTCTTCCCTTAGCACGTCAAATATACTTACGTTAGTAGATACTCTTCATGTGACTTCTAGGGCTAAATATTCTTGCATTTAAATGATGTACCATGGGGTATATAACACCCCATATTCTTGGACGTTTAGATTGATTTTGCAATGATGCTACAGTGATTCCCTGGGTATTTATGTTATCGTGTATGCACGTTTGTATGTATGTATGTATGTATGGCAGTAGACAACATGTAGAGAGGGTAAGGCGTGGCTCTGGAGTCCTGTCACCTGGGTTCAAATCCTTGGTTTGCTGCTTATCAGATGCCCTCCCTGGCAATTTATGGGACCTCTGTGTGTCTACAGTTGCTCTTATAAAATGGGGAAATTCTGATACTTCGTAAGATTATATGAAGATTATATATGTAAAGAGCTTAGAACACGGTCTAATACAAATTGAAGGCTCATTAAAATTTAGCTATTAAATAATCTAGGCTTGGGGAGGGATGGAGGTGGGTGGAAGCATAGATGAAAAGAGAGTGGCCATTAATTGTTGCCAAGTATAAGGAGATTTGGACTCACTATACTATTCTTTCTACTTTTTTATATGAATTTTTTTATAATGAGAAGTAAAAGCACACATAATACAAAAAAATTTTAGCTTTTAGATTTATCTTTTGGTTTTGGTTTATTTTCTTTGGAGATATTTCTAGGAGTGGGCTCACCAGGTGGGATAGTCTATGATCATTGTTGAATTTGGCCAAACTGCTTTAGGACAGGATTGCTTGCCCGGTGCCATCTACAGCCTGTGAGTAAGCCAGTTTATCACAGTCTGAAGCAGCACAGGGCATTACCATTGCATGTTTTTCATCCAAATTTATAAATAAAGGATTACCTCCCAGTTATTTTAATTTCCGCTTTTTTGATTAGTAGAAACTTTGAACCTTTTCTTATGTTTACTGGCGGTTATCATTTAAAAATTTTAAATTATCTACTTCTGTCCTTGGTCCTTTCATCTATTAGGGTTTTATAGGATTCCATTTTATGGGAGCAATATAATGGTTTGGTGGAATTAAACTCATTTTAGCTGTCTTATTTCATTTTTAAGTGAAAGGAGAAACTGTCATCACTATGTGGCTTTTGTGATATTTGATTGAAAAGTTTCTTCAATGTGTATTCATGGCAAACATTTTTTGATACTTTATAAGATGTAGGAATGGTTATGATCTCCATGTCATATTGATGTGGAATATGATTTTTGATTTATGGTTGCTATAAATATATGGTCAAGCCATGGTGAACTGCTCAGGGGTGACAGCCCCCACTGTTCTTTATATAGTGTTCCCTCAGTGTGCTGTCATCTTCATCATGGACCATCTGCCACTAGAGGCCAGGCTGCAGATCTCCCTTGTCAGTGAAATTTGACCTCAGTAAATCTGCAGGTATTTTTGGAAAGACAGAGAAACTACAGTTCTGCTTTCTGGTAATCTATATTTGTAATGAATACACTCATATTTGCTTGCTCTCTTTGTCCTTTCCTGCTTTTTATGATACTAATCACAATTGCTAATCCATCACAGACTATGAGCACACGTTCTCTCTGTAGCTTTTGAAATATAGTCAACTGCTATCATTAGGATACTGAGTAATCTGATGTTTTTATTAACTCATCTTTTGAGTCTCCTCTTATGGGGCTGGCACATTTCTGTTGCATTATATTATTACAACCTATATTTGTAACTTAAACTTTATGGTATTCTGTGTTCAAACCTATAATTTGTAAAGATAAAGTGGGTTTCTGGCATGCTTGAGAGCGGTATTTTACGCCGTCTTTGTAACCATAGGGACTGAATGGTGACAGTGAGTGAACCCCTCTATATTTCATGTTCATGTTATTTATTACTTGACAAATGGCAACAGGGGCATAAAATTGTTTTATTTGTCAGATTTGCATAAGAACTTCCTCACAAAAAGAAGCTTTTATGGTACACAACACAAACGTAAATTCTCATATAATTGTCCTTTTGAGGCATGCCTTGTAGTTTTGTTGTTGTTTTTTTCCTTTTCATCTTTTGGAAAACTTGTAAGATAAGAAAAATTTGCTGCGATGGAAAGAGCTAACCAGTTGTTTAAAGGAACCACACAAAATTGAAAGTACAGGTTTTTTTTTCCTTCTTTTTGTTAGTAATCTTTAGAGGAGTTAAAATTTCAAGCCTGAGTTGTGTCCTGAGATTATGTGATTGGCTAAATTTGGACCCTGGTTATCAGATTTAAAATGAACATGCAAGAGCATGCTTTTAAAAGACCTGATACTTATAAATCAGGAAAACAGAGAGTTCTCAGACTTTTGTAGAAAAAGTAACATCTAAACTAACCCACGTTTTTCACTCACTCATTTTGAAATTTACCTGTGTTGCATATAGAACTAGTTCCTTTTAGCTGCTGTGTAGGATTTCATTGTATGAAAGATACCGTAGTTTATTTAGATACTGTGTATGTGTAATTTAATTACTTAATACAAAACACTTTGAGGTAAGAATTTTTGACTCAGTTTCAGAGCAAGTATTTAAACCCAGGTTTATGTATATCCATCATGCCATTCCTTCAATAAATATTAGGACAATAAAGTTGGGAGAAATGAGCTTGCAGGCTGCCCCCTAGCATATATCTGGGATCTGAATGTCAAGGAAGCTGGTGGTTGTCTGTCCTCCCAGCAGGAGGCGGGCCAGACCAGGGCACCTGTCTTGCTTAGGGGGTCCACCGCAGGAGGCGCGGGGGTCTGGGGGGAGCAGTGGCTCAGCTATTTGAGACGTTGGCCCAAGGGAGCACAAGATCCTTTCTTTATGAATAATCAACGTGGTAAATCCATGATATATTTGAGGCCTGAAAGGCCCTGAGGGGCAGGGAGGGGTTTTAAAAGAAATGTAAGACATGGACCCAGCCCTCGAGGAACTTAAAAGCTAGCGGGGGAGAGGAAACTAACATGAGACAGAACAACAGTTTGCTGACAAGTTGGTGTATACTGTGCTGTGCCCCTCGTCATCTTTTACAGAAATGGAATATTCTATATTTTTCTCTGCATCTTGATTTGTCATTCAACAATACCTTCTGGAAATCCTTTCAAGGCATCTAGTCTAGAACTAATTCATTTTTTAAAGGCTGTGTAATATTCCATGCTGTGGCCATATCATCACTTATTTGACCACTCCCTAATTAACAGTCATCTCTCTTTTTTTTCTTTTTTGCTGTAAACCGCTAAAAACTGTAGCAGTTAGTGTCCTCGTGTATGTGTCCCTGTGTGCAAGTGCTCTCATTTCTGCAAGAGAGATTACCAGGAGTGAGATGGCTGGATTAAAGGGTATATGTATTTTTAAGTTTTTTTTTTTTTATTGGTGAGGAAGATTGGCCCTTTGAGGAAGATTGTTGCTGAGCTAACATCTGTGCCAATCTGACTCTGTTTTGTATGTGGGACACTGCCACACCATGGCTTGATGACAGTGGGTAGGTCTGCACCTGTGATCCGAACCTGCAAATCCTGGGCCGCTGAGGTGGAGCGCGTGAGCTTAACCATTACATGACTGGGCTGGCCCTTCGTGTTTTTAATTTTAACAGATGCTGCCATATCGCTTTCTAAAAAGGCTGTAATTTGTATTCCCCTACCACCAGTGTATAGTGTCCTCTCCCAACATGGTTGCTTCCAACAGTTACGATATCTCTTTTAAGTATCTAACTGGATATCAAGTTATACCCCATTGTTACCAATTTCTGTGGCCACTAGGGAATACGAACATCTTTTCAGACATTATGTTGGCCATTTGTTTTCGCCGTTTTGTGCACTGCTCATCTTTTGCCTGGTTTGTTATTAGCCTTTGGGTGTTTTTGCTGGTTAGCTTGTAAGAACTATTTGTATAGAATAGATATCAACCCTTTGTCATCCGTGTTGCAAATATTTGGACCAGCTACATTGTTTGTCTATTGGCTTTCTTTACCAGACAGTTCACTGAAGGATTATAGGAACAAACTGAGTTTCATCAACTCACAGAACAACCTACTTAGTTTGATATGTTAGCCGACCTTTTGGAAGGGTCGGTGGGTGAAGTATGATATTGACGGGTACAGTACAATCTGCTTGTGGAATGTGGTAGCTCACCACACAGCTGGATTTTCTCTCTTAACTTTTTCAGATGTTCTTTCCGCTCAGGGAGGGAAACTTACACGTGTGCCTCTCCGTGTAGGAGAGCAGAGTTTGATCCCCTAGCTGCTGTGGTGCACTCCATTGGTCTCTCCTCCTTGTGGAAGTGTTGTCCTGAAATCCTGTACCGTTCTTTTTTAGCAATCACACCATCCTCAAGACCTCATCCACCTGTTGTGGGCAAAGTGACTCATCATAGCATTGAACTGTACTGGGATCTGGAGAAGAAAGCGAAACGCCAGGGTCCTCAGGAGCAGTGGTGCAGGTTCGCAATCGAAGAGGAAGACCCCAAAATGCACACTTATGGGATCATTTATACGTAGGTGCAATGTTGAATTCCTTAACGCTTTGATTTTGATTTCCTTTAGCTGGAATGATTTCTATTGTCTCTAATAAGACCGGTTTTGAAATTAAAGAAAAAAATGAGTCAGCATCATTGGCAGTCATGCTCTTTATGAATTATAATTTTTGAAAAATAAGCATTAGCAGGAACTTTCAAATTAATCCTCCCATAGCTTTGAGAGCTTCTTAGACTTCCAAAATGGTCTAATGGTATATTTTTAAAATCCAAAATGTAGAGATAGACTCTCAAGAGAGTTTGAGGAAGTTAGATGAGGTTCCTAGCCAGCTGTCCACAGAGGTGGGTTGGCCCCGCTTGTCTAGCCTGGACCACTTCTTGGCCCCGTGTCACACCACTGTTCCCTTGTCCGCTCTCTTTCCAACTGCTTGCCCCTCTCGCAGCCTCCACGCTGGTTCCCACAGTGGGGCCTTCCTTGTTGCCTCTCCCTTGAATGTGTTTCCTTCTGTTTTTACATGGCTGGTTCCCTGATACGATGCACATATCAGCAAACATCCCCTCCTCAAAGGGCCACTTGAGTAGCCTCCTTCCCCCTGGCAGCCTCTCTCTCATGACCTTGCTCCAGAGGCCTCCTAACATTTAGCTCTGCTGGAGTATTGTTGACTTGTTCATTTTCTGTCTCCCCTCCAGTAGATAAATTCATCGAGAGGCAGATAAGATTCCTGCTTGCTTAACCTTCTACCCCCAGCTCCTAGACACTGTCAGCACATAGTAGGCCCTCAAAATATTTGTTGAATGAATAGATGAATGAATACAACAGGAGTAATCGAGTCATTTTTTCCTTAGTCTTCATTTCAACTCTGACTTGTTTCTTCCCTTTGACAGCTTTACTACTTGCAAAATGACTCTATTTCTGTGTTTCAGGAATACAAAAATGAGATACAAATATGGTTTTTAACTAAACTTTTAATTTTGAGATAATCATGGATTCATATCTAGTTGGAAGAAATCATAGAGATTCTGCATAGCTTTTACCCATTTCCCCCCACTGGTAACATGGAAAACTGTACTGCAGTTACAGCCAGGATATTGGCATTGATGTGGTCAAGATACAGAATGGTTGTAGCACTTTTCTGGGCTTTTCTCAAGGTGGCATTGTAATAAGCATGCTGATGTGAGGGTATAGTATGTATGAAGGCTTCAGCTCTTACCTGAATGATGATATGCCTGAGACTTGAGGAACAATTCTCTCTACCTAAAAAAATATGCATTTATCTGAAATGTAGTGACCATCTGAGAATAACTCTTGGCCTGACTACTGAAAAATGTTATTTTCATCATGTCATGTCATGTGTTATTCTGTGTTGGGTAATTCCCGTCTAAAAGCACGAATTAGGATATTATAGGTATTTCTCTGGAGAAAGAAAAAAACATCATTTCTTTGCCCCCATTCCCCTTGTACCACAAGCTGCATGTTAGGTGGGGCTGCCCGGGGTATTCCTTTCCTTCCTCTTTGCTTTTCCCCTTTGCTGGGTGGCCATGTAGGCAGCCTCACCTAGAGAGACTGCAGCCATGTGCTCTGGCCTCCAGCCCGATGTGTCTGTCTGTGTCGTGTGCGTTCTCCTCTGAGCCCTGAGTGCTGTCCGCACTTGGGGCCTGGCCTGGTGGACCCACAGCCAGGCCCTCACACCTCCAGCTCTAAGTCTGGCTGTGAAATGATCGTGTTCCCTCAGAGAATGAGCACAAATCTTGACACTAGGTGGCAGAATTAGACTGTGTTAATCTTGACCTCATTTCCTCCGTTGTATCACTTTGTCCAGGTACCGTGAAAACTAGCAAATGCCTTTCTTTAAGAAGGCGATGATCTGGAATATCCTACCTGGGCTTGTGGATTTAAGAGCTTCTCGCTGACCTGTCAGTTTCTTGAGTGTTAGCCAGCAGCCAGTCTTGAGTCAGTGGTGCCATATTTGACTTGGGCTCTCCTTCTCATGGCCAGTTACCTAGTTTTGTGTGTTGTTGTCCCTCTGCAAACACCTTCTAGGCCTTCCTTCGTTAGCCTGTGGCATTTCCCCTACTAGGATGCAAGCTCCATTTTCTGCCTAGCTCATTGCTGTAGCCCCAGGTCCTACAGCTGTTCAGCATATTTGCTGATTGAGTGAATTGACCTTATCCTTCTTTGCTTGCCTTCTGTCTCTCATTCTATCTTGCTAGGTTAATTTTCCTTTAAATCTTCCTTTTGTCAAATTGTCGTCAGTGGGTCTCCGTTGCTTGAAGGATGAAGGTCAGACTCCTTAGAACATTTGATGCCCTTCACAGTTTGCCCACAACCTGCCTTTCCTGCTGCCTCTTATTTCTGAGCATGAATCCTCCAATGAGATCTGCTTGCTGTCCTTTGACTATGCCTCAACTTTTCCTGCGTGTGTGTGCAGCTGTTGTCCCTGTGCAGACGAATGGCCCTCTACCTTCATCCTTTCTTCTGCTCAAGTCAGATTCTGCCTCGACTGAGAAGCTCCCTTACCATCCCCTTATCTACCTCCTCTAAATCCCTCTGATGATTGCTGCCCATATCAGGCATTTCATTTATTCAATCAGCATGTATTAATGGGTGCCTACTGTGTGCCAGACATTGTTCTGGATGCTGGGGATATGACACTGGACAGACAGACCAAACTCCTATATGTAAGTGAAAACATAGGGTATGTCAAATGGTGATAAGTTCCAAGGAGAAAAAGCCTAGGAGTAGTCAGGGCCTGGGGTGGAAGTGAGGAGGGCTTCACTGAGGAGGTAACGTCTGAGCAAAGAACCAGGTGAGGGACGTCCACAGCCTTGTGAGTATCTGGAGGAACATTCTAGGTGGAAGAAATAGTAAGCAAAAAAGCCTTGAGGTGGGAGTGTGCCTGGTGTGTTCCAGGAACACTGAGGAGGGGAGCGAATGGGAAGAGTAATAAGGGGTGAGGTCAGCGGGGCCGTGGGAGGTAACCTCCAGGGTCTGGTGGGCTAAGAGGAGAACTGTGGCTTACTCTGAGAGAGGTGGGACAGCCATTGAAGGCTGTTAAGCTGAGGGGTGGCTTGATTTGGCTTATGCTTTAGGAGGATCACTGTGGCTGTTGAGTTAAGAACAGGCCATAGGAGGGCAAGGCAGCAAGCAGCAGGGAGGACTAATTAGGAGGTTTTTGCAATAATGTGGGTGAGTGATGACTGAACAGAGTGCAGGACTCTGTTCAGTGGTTGAATTCAGGATATATTTTAAAGATAAATTTGAAAAATTTGCCGCTGGACCAGACATGGGATGTGAGAGAAAGGGGATAGTCAAGGGAGATCTACTGCCTGCCTACCTACCTACCTACCTACCTATCTACCTATCTACGTACATATCTATCTATCTATCTATCTATCTATCTGTCTATCTGTCTATCTGTCTATCTGTCTATCCGTCTATCCGTCTATCCATCTTTCCATCTTTCCCTGTATATCTAATTCTAGGAGAGGCTAAATTATGCTGCATTAAGCATCAGCTTCAGCATCTCAGTGGCTTACGACTGCAGTAGTTCATTTTCCACTCAAAATACCCATTGTGTGTCGGCCATGGCTGCCTGCCACGTTGTCTTCACTCCACAGCCAGGCTGATAGAGCAGCCTCTGCCTGAACATTGTCAGTCATTATAGCAGCACAGGGAGACAGCACGGCACACTGTTTCTTGACACTTCTACTCAGAATGACACACTTCACTTCTGCTTATGCTTTGTTGCTCAAAGCAAGTCATACAGCTGTGTCTGAGTTCAACAGTGATGTAGAATTCTTGGGAGGGCACCACATATGTGTGAGCAATAATTCAGTCTTCCAAGCTGGCACCAAGGTTTTTGGCCTCAGCAACTCAAAGAGATGGGGAAGACTGCAGGTGGAGCAGAAGCTCGGTTTGGGACTATCAGACATCCAATAGGATTTGGGACTCTCAGACATCAGGGAGGCACTTGGGGAAGACAGGGCCAGAAAAGAGATCTGGGCAGGAGGAAGGAATTTCAGAGTCATCAGTGTGAGGCTAGATTGGAGGGCTGGGGACAGGAGCATAGAGAGAAAAGGGAAGTCTGGTAATTGAGTCCTTGGGCATTCTGATATTTAGTTTATGCTTTGTGTTTGTTCAGCACTTGCATCAAATATTTGCTTGTTGGCTGATAACAAAAGTAAGGGTATGCCTTACACTTCTGTTTATTTTGCTCTGTTGTGGAAATATTTCTAAGATGGCTCCATTCTTTAAGGTATCGTACCTGGTCCGTGTGGAGCGGTGCTTCTCTGCAGCTTTGCTGAACTGCTTCTGTTGGTCATCCCGTGTCTGTGCTGCAGTCATCATGTCATCCCCGAGTCTGTGCTGTAATTGCTGTGGAGTACCCCAACGGGCAGTGTGTCTCACGGCCCCTGCTGTGTCTTTTGTTCTCTCCTTGGGGCCATCTCTGCTGATGTATGAGAGTCTCTAGCCTCCCATAACTGTGCTCAGTAACATCTGTTTCCTAGCACAGCTCTGTAATTTCTCTTTCCGGGGGTTAGGAAGGTGCTAATCGCTTCAGGGTGATCTTATGATACTTAGCAATACCGGATTCTGTTGGGGGCACTTTTGGTTTTATTTTGGTCTAAAAGTATGTTAAGTCTTCAACTCCTGGCATTGAATTCCACTGAGGCTTGGACATTATATTCTCATTGAGCTCCTAAAGGTCTTTTCAAATGCCACAAATTGCTGAGGGTTCAGCTTTTATGATTCAAGTTATCTATAGCTATGGACCTATGCTCACATAACAGCAAAATCCACCCACTCAAAAGACTACTTGTGCCAAGCTGATATATTTTAGTTTTTAAAGTTCTTATTTTTTTAGCCCATGCAGTTTTCCTGAATATTTGCTTTGGTTTTAGAGTTTTGACTTTTATGGTAAATGCACTTATATCTATTAACACTTCTGTTTCCTTGGTTTCTTGATTCAAACATTTTTCTTAATGCTATTGGTATCATTTCTTCATTGCACTTCTTATAGTTTCTTCTTTGTTGATACATGATGTATCAATTATCTATTACTGCATGACAAACTACTCCTCAATTTGGTGACTTAAAGCAAAAAACAATTATGTGTTGCTACGTTTGGGCAGTCTGGGGATGGTGTGTCTCTGCTTCACATGGTCTCGGCTAGGACAGCTCTGCTGGGGCTGGAGATCCAAATGGTGTCCATCATATGTCTGATGCCTCTGCGGGGGTGGCTGGGACAGCTGGTGGCTGACCAGGCTTCTTTATCTCTCGTCATTGTCTGGCATCGTCCAGTGACTCTCTCACCAGTTGGGCTCTCCCTCCAGCAGGAATTTAAACATCTTCACATGGTGGCTAGCTTCCAGGGGAGTGAAAGCAGAAGCTTCCAGGCGTCTTAAGGCTGGGGCCCAAACTGCACAGCATCACTTCATATTCCATCCTACTTGAGGGGAGAGGAACTCGGCTCTAACTCCATGGAAGACTAATGTGTATCTGCAGGATAGAGGGGATTGTTGGAGGCCACCTTCGCTGATGTTGTACCACACTTGACCTCTTCAGGTGAAGAGAAATGTGTTTCAAGTAAAGATGATATCAGTTAGGAGGCTGAATCCACCAGCAAAGGGCAGGAGAACGCAGACAAGTGGCCAGAAGTGCCTTAGACGCCTCATCTCTTTCATGGCTCTGTTAGCGCTGCACCCAAGTCATTTAGATTTTGGTGCCTGAAGTAACTTGTGTTGCAAAAAAGGATTCACTGTGTTCAGCCCTTTATTTCAGCTTAAAATTTTACATTTTGGATAAACAACAAAGAGAGAAAAACACAAAGGGAAAGGAGTCTTTGTAAATCTCTTCCACTTTTCAAACGTGGTTCTCTAGGTCTCCGTTTAATCTGAGACCCCTCTCTCAGGAACACACATCCAGACTTGTCTGGTTCGATTGTTGGTTTATGGACTGGCCCCCATATGCAGAGGGCCAGAAGAGACTGAAGAAAGAGGCAGGCCACTCCAGATTGGTAGGTAACAGGTGTAATAAGCAAGGGAACTTACAAGGCTTGTCTTGAGCAGCCGCAAGACAAGTAGATCTCTGCACCCGCTGCCAGAATCTTACAAGTTTATACGGAGGCCTTAACGGGGTTCAGTCACATACACCGTCCAGATGGTCTCAACGCCGCCTTTTGCTCTCAAGGCTGCATCCTTGAAACAGCTGCTAGCATGAGAATAACAGGCAGAATGTACATTCCAAGGACAGGGGTGGGGGTAAGCGGACTCTGATTGCCGTGGTCCAGCTGGAGGGTCAATTGGTGGTCACATCCTCTCGATGAGCTCCTCCAACACCAGTCTCCCCATCACCAGACTCTTGTCACCCTTTGCTCATAGCCTAGACCAGCATTCCCCGAGTATTCCATGTCCTTCCACTCCAATGCTGCTTCTCAGACTGCCTGGGTCCTCCTTTCCCCTGCCTTATCTGCCTAGGATAAGTCTTTATGGAAGTTGCTCCCCGACTTCTCACTTTACATCAGAGACCCCTCCACTGAGGACATTCTACTGGGCCCTCTCTGCCCCTCCCTTGCTCCTCAAAGTGGAGGAATTACTTGTCTGATGGAAGAGTTTGGGTGATGGAACTTAGAAGACCTTCCAGGTTCTCTCAAACTATCCCAAAGGGTTCTCCTCCCTCTGGAGTGAGTGTTGGGTCAGCTCTCTAGTGCTTGGCCATATGCCTGCTTCTTTGGGGGAAAAACTGCTTTTCCAGTGGGGTCTGGGAGTAGGTGGGTGAGGCTGTTTAATTGACAGGTGAGGTGTTAGCATGCCCACCTAGCCCAGATTTAAAGCCACGTTTTCAGGTGAGCTTTTATTGGTAATGGTGCTAACTCCAGCACTGTCATATCAGTCTGACTCAGCTGTCGTTCCTCACTGTCCTTGACTCTCTCTTCTTGCCACCCATCAGTAGGAGATGGGGTCAACTCACTGATGACAGATTCATCTCAGCCCTGAGCTGGCCCCAGGCTGCATCCCTAGCCTGTCCCAGCTCCTAGCAAGTAATGGGCACTAGATATATTTATTGAGTTGCATGGAATGGAATTGATGTGTAATATTTAGGTTACACACAAACATCCTTGAAAAATTAGTTGTAAATCCCAAAGTATGATTCTGTAGGCCTCTGTAGAGGTCTGCTGAGAATGAAAGAAAAATTAGAGACAGAAGATGGGGAAAACAATGGTAACCTTGGAGTCCAAGGGGCTATGGAGAGTGTTCTGGAGGGAGGAGAACAGGGCTGGGTTGGATGTTGAAGCAGGAAAGAAGGAAAAGCTGGAAATAGTACGCACACATACAAACCCTGAAAGATCGAGCCTTTGAGGTATAAGGAAAGGAAAAATTAGATATAGGATTTGAAAAGAGGTAATGGAATTGAGTCAGATGCCAGTAAAGAGCTTTGGCAGCAAAGGGAACCTGAGGTTTTAGGCAATATTGGGAAATACATACAACTCTGTTGACTTTTGGGGACCTGGTATCTTAGAGAACATGCCAAGTCAAAGCCAGGCCCCTGACACCTGCCTCCCAAGCAGGGGGACACAGTCTTAGCACCATCGCTGGATCCTAGCATCTTCTGAGCAGGCAGGCAGACTGCCTGACTGCATTTCCTGGTGCTCATTTTGCAGGCTTCAAATGATTAGACTCCGTCCTCTTTCCTTCTGGAGGCGTGTGGATTTCCATTGCTAGCCTCTGATCAGTTTTCTCTTCTACAAGTGTTCAGGGTCTGTTTCCCATGGACATTTTCCTAGATGAACTTAACAGGGTGGCAAAGTGTTGGAGTGGTTCTCGTAAGCTGCCTGACTCCCCAGCTCACTCTGAGTTGCTCATTGCCTACAAGCAATCAAATACTTTACTACTTCTGCTCTTTTTCCTGCAGTATTATTTTGCCTGCAATAAGTATGCAGCCATCAGACAGCCTCACCTATCCACTCAAAGACCCCACTCAAAAATCACGTATATACTGTTTGACTGCCTATCTCATTTTTTAAATGTGAAACTTTGTCATTTGAGGACAAATATCATGGGTTAACGTGATTATTTTTCCAAAGAACGAAATTGCATGCCAGCTGTGTGTCAGCACTGGGCTAGGCACCGCAGAATAGAGTGGGTATGTGCTGGGTGGGATGGAGGTGCCACGCGTGGGTTTTCACAGTCTCGTGGGGGAGACTGACAACAACTAGGATCAGATCTGTACTGGAAATAGACAGCATTCAAAATTCACTTCCTCCTGCTCTTCTATCAGAGAACACTGACTAGATTACCTGGTGCCATCCGCATGTGTGTCTCCTCCTATCTAGGGGATATGCAACCAAGCATGTTGTGGAAGGTCTGGAACCACGGACACTGTATAGATTTCGGCTGAAGGTCACCAGCCCCTCTGGAGAATATGAGTACAGCCCAGTGGTCTCGGTATCTACGACCAGTGAGTACAAAGCACTCTAAACTCACTTATCTAAAGATAAATGAAGACGACCAGCAATGTGGAGGTAAAAATATTCAGCTTTTTGCTCGGCCTGACTGGAAGCAGAAATTACGTATTCCATTTTTAAGCATTGTGATAATATTATTTTCTGGCTGAGCCTGGCCATAGCATAAGGGAAGTCTAATTGTGCTTTAATAAATGGAGAGAGCTGTTTCGGTGCCAGCACTGCCCTGTGAGTGTACATCTGGAACAAAAGGGGAAAGGGGCCAGAGGGGTGTGGGCTGAGCGCGTGTTCCCACAGGGAGAAACAGCTACCTGTTTTGGGGTCCTCAGACGACGAGGTCTACTCAGTGTTTTGTCCCTCTTGGACAATTTCAGTGTATGTGTCTTGACCCATGAATCTGATTCCTGGGGGTGTTGTGAGGAAGAATGAACAGGGCTGCTCTCATTCATAGGCGAGGGGACAGAGAGCCCTGCATGGAAGTGGTGGTGAGAGGCTGGCCATGGTGCCTCTGACCAGTGCATTCTTTTCCCAGGTTGAAGGGTACAAATCAAAGGGTACAAATATTTTCAAATATTTTCTGTGATCAGTTTCTTAAAACTTCTTTTTTGGTGAGGAAGGTTGGCCCTGAGCTAATATCTGTTGCCAATCTTCCTCTTTTTGCTTGAGGAAGATTGGCCCTGAGCTAACATCCGTGCCCATCTTCCTCTGTGTTGGATGTGGGATGCTGCCACAGTGTGGCTTGACGAGCAGTGTATAGGTCCATGCCTGGGATCTGAACCTGTGAACCCTGGGCCACCAAAGTGGGACATGCAAACTTAACCACTATGCCACTGGGCTGGCCCCTTAAAACACTTTAAAGATGTGTGTGAATCCAGTGCCATCTTTGAACTAGAATGTTGTAAAGGTTAAAATGGCCAGAAAAGTTCTTCAGGGCCCACCCACTGAAAACACAGACAAATCTTCTTTTGGTTGCACAAAGGAAATCCTTCTCTTGTGAGTGAAAAGTTATTTTAAAATTTTATTCAATGTAGCATTTGGCTTGTATGTATATACGTAGTTTTTTTCTGTGGCTTTCATTTGTGTCCTTTAGGCACTTAATCATGGAAATTTTTGTGTGGATTAAAGATAACTCAGATTTTGAGTTAGGCAATATTTTCAGTTGCAAACAAGGCATTAGAGGATTGGATCTTAGTTTAGCAAATGGAGAATTTAGTTAAAGCTGAGAGTTTCAAGGCTGTATACATTCTCCAATGATGCTCAGCTAGCCGTGAGAAAATATAATTTCAGAGGAGACTTTAAAGTGAAATGGTCAATTATGGAGACGCAGGTCAGGAAAGAGGGCTTGTGGCTTAATCTGAGGGCTTTGAAAGCATTTTCTTTTATATGGAAGATATGGGAGCTCCTGGGGTTTTTAGGGGAGAGAGAGGGGGGCAGACCAGCAGAAAGTGAGTGAGTTGTGTGTGAATTGAGGGAAGACAGAGAGAATGGAGGAGGAGAGAGGAGGAGGAGGAGTTGGCACAGGGGGCCTGTCACTTGAAAAGAGACTCTCTAGGGGATCAGGGGGCCAGGACGCTCTCCCATGCCGCCTTTCAGCTCCCTCCTGTCCTCCCGCTATCCCCAGCCACCCACAGGCCACTCCCACCCTCCTCTGCCCCGTCCCTTTGGGGTGCCTCCTCTGGAGCACCTCCCCCCACCCCTCCTCTGCCCTCGGGGCCTGCAGAGCCCTGCTCAGGGGTGATTCCTCAGGTGGCTTCCGCCTTGTTTGCCACGCTGCAGCTCCTCCCCTGGTACAGAGCAGTGTCTCACCACCTCTGAGAACACTTCCTACAGCTTATTTTATGTACTTGTCCATCTTCTTTCCCTCCCACTTACATTGTGTGCTCCTAAAAGTTGGGGGGTGGGGGGAGGATGGGTCAGTCATGTCTAGCATGTCGAAGATCCTTACTAAGTGGTTTAAAGAATCCATCCATGGCAAATGAAAAGGCCCAGAGGCAGAATTAAGAGGATGAGGAGAAACAGTGATTTTTTTAGCTGACTCTCATGTCTGTTGGGAGATGGATCTGTTTCCCACTGGCTGCGGAGAGTCCACTGAAGCTGCCAGGTGAGGGTGAACTGGATGCAGAACCAACCATGGTGAGCCTCAGGTGGCCACTGGTCTCCTTCTGAATACCACATCAAAGCCAAGGCGGGGTCTTCTGGACCAGAGATGACATGGAGTTGGTGCACCATTGGAGCTCTTTAGGAAGGCAGAAACCACTGTAGCTCTATCAGCTGACAAGGGTTGTCCCTCTGGGCCAGGTGTGCCTTCTTGCCAAGCTGGCTTCTGAGAGGCAGCCATGGATAACTGGTCCAGTGGTCCAGGGCATTTGTCACTGCAGCCCATGGCTTCCATGGGCACTTAGACAAGACTTCCTGTAGAGACAAGGGCTTGATGTAGACATGGCTCCTGGTGATGACCTGGTGTGTTGGGGCTTCTGGAGCATTTCCTTGTCAAGTCACAGCACATATGCTGCAGCTGGGACGTGCGCTCAGCCTCAGGGGGTCTGTCCTGGGTGGCAAGGATCAGGTACACTCTTCCTTCTGGCTGGCTGCTGCTCCCTCATGCTATTGTTATATTTATAATATCCAAAGCAGACTCTCTTAAGGAGGAAGATCATGCTAAACAAAGAATTAAAAATGTGCACATTATACAAAAAAGTGACAATGCTTCTGTGGGCTGATAATTTGCATTCCGTTTGAAAGTGTTTTAATGAATCACAAAAGGATGTACTTTGTTTGAATAAAGGATGCTCAGCCTTTTTTTTCCCAGGTAAAGTACACGAGACTCTTGCTTAAATGAGGCATGCAATTTTAATCAGTTGGGCCCTTAAAAAGAAAGAAAAACAGCTGCTGCTTGTTAATTGGCAAATATCTTCTCCGATGAGCTCATCATTTATTCACGGCTTTTAATAGAGACTTAAATTCCACCAAGGAAGGTGTTATCACCACATTATAATGTCTGCCAGCACATCTGCAGCTAAATGACCCTCTTACAGAATGTGAGTGATGGATTCCCAAAGACCACTCTGCCGTCTCCTCCTCCTGGGTGTCCTCCTGTGGTCCTGCCTGATGAGTTCCATCCAGCGCAGGAGGAACACTCAGGGACATCCTCACCGTGGGCAGGATCAGTTCGGTATCTGTAATTGCAACTCTCGGGGTAAACATTGGAAAAACACCCCCACAAAACAAGGCCTGCCTTCTTGATATTGAATTGCACTGATCAATGACAATCCCTTGGGCCGAGCCCACAATGTCTTGAAGGATTTGGGGGTGGGAGGAGTGGAACATTTGGCTCACCCTGGAATTTCCTCTCTGTTCTTCACTCCTTCCCATACTGGGAGTAGAAAGAACTACTCTGCTTGCAAACAAGAGCCTTTTCATTTCTTTTCTGTTTCTCTGTCAAATTCATGTAAACTGTGAGCCTTTTCTGTGCCTCAGTTGATCCATGCCTGGCCTGGTGGTAATCCTCAGGACCTCTGTGCCTTCCTGGCAGTGGTGTGAGAGGAGTCGATGAGTTAATGCTGAGAAAGAATTTTCAGCCCCAAATGACAGTTATTGCTTCCTTTTGCTGAAACTTAGCAAGCAAGGACTGAAGAACAAGTATGTTGTTTTCCTCTCTTCCGTGAGATGTCCTTGTGTTCTCAGAATAACTCATGAGAGCACTGATTACCTCTTGCAGAAGCTGGAATAGGAAATACATTTCTTTAGATTATGTCCTAATATCAAAATACCCTGTCTTTGCTATGCACAGTCCTCAAGCTTCTAAGCACGGAATGAATTTAATACGTTTTCCAATATTTGCATGCTGCAGAGCTTTCTGGGTAGGATGCATGAGGAAGTGCCCTCCTCTGGGAGAGCTGTGCCAGTCAGGGAAGATGGATGATGTGGATTAGAGGTGGTGAGGGCTTAAATGTGCTGGGATGCTGTGTGTGCTTTTAGAACTTTCTTTAAAATCTCACGAAGTTAGCACTTTTCTGAAGTTTTTTAGGCTGTAGGCATCCCCTTTCATTTAACACTTTCCATGGGATCATGTTTATTTAAGATGTCTGCTTGTATTCAAAATTTAATAAGAATGGAGGCATACAGTGAAATTGTTACATGTGTTACAATACGGAAGGAAGGAGTACGGCCTCACAGGAGACCGCTCTCCGGGCTCCAATGTCGCCCACTCCTGCCTGGGTGACCTTGGATGACACTCATTCAGCCTTTCTGGCTCTCAGTTTTGTGGTCGGAGGAAGAATCTAAAAAGCATTGTGTCGAGATACAGCTTCCTTAATAGGATTTGAGTTAGGATATCATGTTTTAAAATTTAGTAGAAATAGGATGAGCTTCCTATGTTCTTCTGGATTATTCTATGCAAGTTACTTGTTTTTGTATTTTTTGTGGCAGTTGGAGGTTGAGAGTCACAGAAGCGGGGCTGTCTGGTGGGATAACAGAGGGTTCTCACCACAGTGTTCTTCCCCTCCTTTCTGGGAAGCGTGAGGGAAGGGAACTTTTGATGGGTTTAGTTTGTCCACGAACATATGGATGGGTCACATAGATCATTTTCAGTCCATATTACTGTAGCCCAGGGTTTCTCCACCTTGGTGCTATGGACATTTTGGGCTGGGTAACTCTTGATTGTGGGTGCCATCCTGTGCACTGTAGGACCTTGATCAGCATTCCTGGCCTCTACCTGATAGATGCCAATAGCACCAACTGTTAAGTTATGCCAACCAAAATTGTTGCCAGACTTTACCAAATGTCTCTGGGGGCAAAACTCTGCCCCGTTCTGTAGCTCCTATTGGAAGCCAGGAACAGCATGGGCCCTGCCCTATGATGGTTTATCATGACACTTTCATTTGAAGCTTTTTGTCTAAAAATATGCGTGGAATGATGAAAAGGAAGTATAACGTGGCTAAAAATCTTCAGGAGATTGGCAATCTCTAGTGGACAAAGTTATTTCAAAACAATTTTAACTTGGCTTAAATTTATTTTTCCCAGAAGAGAAGGAAGGGTATCAGCTGGAGGTCACTCTGATAGTGATCCCTCCGTTTTTCTGCCCTGCTCACTTCCCAGTTTGTACTTGGCCCAGCTAAAATCCTCCAAGGAAACCAGGAGAAAAGTAGCGCCTGTGCCCAGAAGCTGACATCCCAGAGTTTTTCCATCGTGAGGAGCAGGGATGGGGAATTTTACTTCCCATCCTGCAGAGGTGGCCAGGGGACCTCTGCAGGCCAGGCTGCAAGAGGGAGGTTAAGTAGGGGGCGGTGAGCCCCAGGAGGCAGTCTGGGGTGCAGTTTGGGAGGACGGGGTAGGGGTAAATGTTTTCTTTTAGGGTTTATAATAATAATAGGCTGAAAGTGGGCACTACAGTGTAAAGGGCAAGGGAGAGGAACATATTTGTCTCATTCTCTCTGGGAGCCCCAGTGCCTAGCACTAGACTTGGCATGTAAGTTACTTAATAAACTTGTTGAATGAATGCATGAGACCTTTGGATTACTAAAACTGGGGATTATGAACTCAATGCCTATTGGGGTCAGGTAGGTGTGAAAGTGTGGGAGAGGGCTGGGTGTAAGGCAGAAGAGAATGGTGGGGTTGTGTCGAGCAAGGTCAGCTGCCACTACCATGACTATTACCTCAACGACAGACACATGTTGGATACTTAGGACGTGCTCGGTGCTGTTCCAGGTGCTTCCCTTGTATTTCATTTAAGCTTAATCATAATCATTTAAACAATGAGAAAGTCCTGGAACGTGAAGCAAGCGAAGTCATGGAATAAATGCCTTGAAAGACGGGCTTCTCTCACTTGGCCCTTTCTTCTCACACTCTGCTCATTTTTGAACTTCTGCCGCAGTCCCTTCCTCAAGGAGTTAGTGTTCGCCCGTACACAGGGCCACCCTCCTCTCCACCCCACCTCCATTGTTCTTTTACTGTGTCTCAGACTCCTGCTCGTACTTCTCGACTTGGCAGTCGTCTCGCATAACGGGGCTTTCTCACGATGTTCTGCCTCCCTGGGTAGGAGCCCCCTCTGCCCCCAGAAGCTCAGAGGAGACAAGGCCAAGACGAGTGTTATATTCCTGGGAAGAACTCACATTCTGGATTTCAAGTGTTGAAGCAAGCTGCCTCTTTTTGTTTGCCATTCTAGTAGTTTAGTGATTCTTTGGCAAACAAAACCAGCGTGCTGTGGCAATTGGGGAGTTTTGCCTTGCTTGTGGGAGACATTTATTAAGTCTTATGAAATCTGAAAGGATTATTTTCAAATATCAAAATAACATTCACATAGCAATACTTTTATAACTTGAAAATGTCCCAAGCCTTTAGGACAATCTAAATGTTCTTTTCTTAATATGTGAAAACAAGGTCTTTTTCAGTAAAAGGAGTTGACTAGGAAATGTAAGATGTATTTATTGGAATAGCCCAGTGCCTTCTTGGAGGTGAACATGAGCACCCACTCAAGGCCACAGGAGGAATATAGCTGGAATGAATCTTCTTTCATTATATTTTGGATGACTGCTTTCTGTCTAATTTCTTCAGGAGAGCCCATAAGTAGCGAGCACTTTCATAGGGCTGTCAACGTGAATGATGAAGATTTGCTGGTTCAAATACTTCAAGGAGGGTGAGAGAACGCTGCCATTAATTTTTTTTTTTTTATTTTTCATGCCCAAAAGTGCATAGAAATGCATGATGCAGCTTTATTTTGTTTTATTAAGACTTCCCATGCCTTTGAAACTGGCTCCAAAATTAATCTCAGGTGACTGGCATGAGTTCAGCATAGTTAATAAAGACCATAAAGCCCCATGTAAATGTTATATTTTGTAATTATTTAATGAAAATTGAAAATGGAAATTACAAGTCTGGTTGTCATATTTTCTTCCCAGAAGTAATTTTTGATTCTTGTTTATATGCCGTAGCATTTAGGCAAATTTCACCCCCAAATGTCCACATCTAATTCCTACTGAAATTAAGGCATCACTAAATCAGCTGTTTCTAATTCAAAAGGTTGATAAAACACTAGAGGAAAAATAGTGAATCTGGTTGCTGCAGATGTGGTATTTGAAGCTGCCTCCTCAATGAAAAATGGACAGTGTTATCTCGATTCTTTCTGAATCAATAGTTTTGAGTGCCTTAGAGGACAAGCCATTTGTGCATTGGGGCTCTGTAAGTTGGAGAAGAGAAGGTTCCCACGAAAAGCCAAAGCTTCTAAGCTGATCCTTAACAGCTCTGCTTTCTTCCTTCGGCAGCAGCGTTTTAGGCCCAGTGCATGAGATGGGAATCAAGGGAACACGTGGGGCTCCCCCAATCTAGACCTGTGTTCAGTGGAGCTGAGTCTGCAGTGAAGACACTGTGCCCTCTGCTAATTTGAGGGGGCTGTGCTCTTCATAGAGTGTTTTATTGGATTGCATAACACTTTCGAGTTGAAGGAGTGCCTATTTTAAGTGAAATTACAGCAATTTTCTCTTCTTGTGAATTTGAATCCTTTAAAATATTAGGCAGGGCAGTCTAAGACAACAAAAATTTAATGGCCCGGAAGAAATTGGAACTTTTGGGACAATGAACCATTTTAGCCACCTGTGCCCTGCAAGAGACATCAGCCGCAAATCCACAGGGAGCCGTGTGGAGCGTGTTAATCTCTTTTTCTCTGTGTTTTTCCCAAGAAATGTTAAGGTTGATGTTCCCAATAAGTTTGGCTTTACGGCTCTGATGGTTGCTGCCCAGAAAGGATTCACCAGGTAGGGCTCCTCCTCCTTATCTCTCTGAGTGAGTGGTTGAACCCTTCACTCCTCTCAAAGGCTCCAGTCAGGGTAGCGGTGGGAGGGAAAGGGGCCGGGGAGATCCCATTTGTCTTCTCTTTCCAAAATGGTACCATATAAGGGCTGAACAAAAACTCAGCTGTTTTTCTCATAAAGTCATACAACATGCGGGAGAGAATGTAAAAATGTATAATCATGTGGTGAGAAGGAGAGGTAGCCATTTAATTATATCTTGCAATATATTTTATGTGTCCTGGGAAAACTGGTTATTGGAATTTGAATTTCGTTAAAAAAGAAAAGGGAGGGATATTAATTCTGGGAAACAAACTTCCCTGATAGGTTGCTAAGATAATTTTCACTGATACACTCCATTATCTCCATTCCACACAGATAAGCATAAATACTAATAGGTTGTTTTTCAATCATATTTATATTTACTAAAGTGCCATTTTGAAAAACATAGAAATGTATTTTCATTAGATGCTATTTGAAAATATATTCAAAATGGTTGTTAAAGTGACCGTGAATTAGTTTGATAGTCCAATTTGTTTCGTGTGGTACAGTTTAAAAAAAAAATTTTTTTATTGCAGTAACATAAGTTTATAATATTATATAACTTTCAGGTGTACATCTTAATGTGTTTTGAATTCTGTGTAGATTACATCATGTTTACCACCCAAAGACTAATTACAATCCATCCCCACACACATGTGCCTAATCACTCCTTTCACCCTCCTCCCTCCCCGCTTCCCCTCTGGTAACCACCAATCCAATCCGTTGCTATGTGTTTGTTTGTTTGTTGTTTTTATCTTCTACTTATGAGTGAGATCATATGGTATTTGACTTTCTCCCTCTGACTTCTTTCACTTAGCATGATAACCTCAAGTTCCATCCATGTTGTCACAAGTGGCTGGATTTCATCCTTTCTTATGGCTGAGTAGTATTCCATTGTGTATATGTACCACATCTTCTTTATCCATTTGTTCCTTGATGGGCACCTAGGTTGCTTCCAAGTCTTGGCTATTGTGACAATTTTTTTCCAACGAATAATTCACATAAAGGGTAAAAACCCATTATTTTTTGGTATTGGAGAGGTAGTTTTCTGGTTTTATAATGCTCTACCTTTAAAGCCAGCTGGCCTCTGAAGATGGAGAAGAAAGTGTTACAAAGATGTGTCAGTGTTGTTCCTTTTTGCCGGATTATCATGGGTTCCTGTTCAAAGCTACTTATCCCACTAAATTTAAATTTGTTTCCTTTAGGCTTGTTAAAATCCTCGTTTCTAATGGCACTGACGTGAATCTGAAGAATGGAAGTGGCAAGGACAGGTAGGTTCTGGAATCTGCCCTAAAATGTTCCAATACTTATGTTATTAGGCCTGTTCCCGGAGAGTTTTTGATTGAACACAAGTTCTTGATCCAGTCTCTTTTGACAGCGCTGTGAGGTGAAGTACCACATTCCAAAGGAGAGATGGCGATGACGAAAGCTGGCTTACTGGTTGGTTCACTTATTCTTTCAGTCCACAGGGTATTTCTGGAATCTCCATCATAACTTGTGTACCCTCCCTAGCTCAGTGTCAGTGCACACTAGGTGCTCAGGAAATGGTGGTTATTCAAACAGTTGTCACCAGCCTGTGCCCAGCATTGGGTTGTGCCTCTGGCATTGGTACCTCCCTCAGGGCTCTCATTGCCTCTTGCCATATGCTGTTAACTGAGAATCTTTGGTATTTGCGAAAAGCAAACAGGCATCACAATCAAAAATACAACCCAAGAACTTCCCTGAGGTGAAAAGGCTGAGTCATTGCAGGAGGAGTTTAGGAAAAGAGCGCAACACTTGAAAACCTATACTTCGAGCTGAAAGAATGTTTTAGACTCAAAAATGATCACCAATCTAGCAATTAGGTTTAATTGATTACATCAGCCAATATTTATCAAATGACTCCCACATGCCAGGCTCTGTGCTTGGCTCCCAGGTAGAAGTGTGAACAGTGGTGGTAGGTGCAGTAAAATGGAACTTGCAGATACAGGATAGAAGTGTACACTGATGTAACCTTTCTGGAAGGCAATGTGGCAATATGCATCAAAAGCAAGCCTTAAATATCCAGATCCATTGACACAGTGATCCCATTTTTAGGAACTGAATCCTCAGGAAAGAATCAGAAATGTGAATAAGACTTTACATAGTAAGGATGTTTGCTGTAGCCTTATTTAAAATTGTGAAAATTTTGAACAACTTAAATGTCCAACAATGGTGGAATGATTCAAGTTAGGATATATTCATGTGGTGCAATATTTAGTTATAGGAATACTGTTGTCAGAGTGAGTAAATAAGGATATACATGAAGTAATATTAACTAAGAAAATGAAAGATAATATCTTTATTTGGAAGGTTTCAGACATGTAGGAAAGTTGAGAGGACAGTCCAATAAATGTCTGTGTACTCACACCTGTGGCTGGCAGTTTTCACCACATTTGTCACATTTGCTTCTCTGTCTACGTTTTTATTAGCATTTTTTTTTTTTGGCTCACCTATTTCAAAGTAAGTCGGAGGCACCGTAACCCCACAGTACTTCAGTGTGTATGTCCTACAAACAAGGACATCAACCTGGCATCATCACACTAAGACCTGTCACAGTAATTTCTAATGTCATCGATGCCCCAACCACCGGTGCAAGTCTCCCCACTCGTCCCCCCGAAGGTCTTCCATAGTCATCTTTGGGGACGTGGGGCGAGGCCGTGATCCAAGCAAGCTCACACGTTGCATTTCGTTGTTCTCTCTCTGTAGTCTCTTTATTCAAGACAGGGCCTCTATCCTTTTTTTTTTTTTTTTTTTAATATTTTCTCATCCAATGACGTTCTGAGGAGACCAGTCCAATTATTGTATAGAATGTTCCATGTTCCTGATTTGCCTGATTTTCTCCTACTTGTGAAGGAGGAATTGAACTTGTTCATTCATCATTTCCAATAAAGTTAGGTTTAAAGCTTTGATTAGATTCAGACTAACATTTTTATCAAGGAGACTTCAGAGCGGTGTTGTGACTTGAGGTCACATCTGTCAGCAGGCTTGTGACGCAGGCTGCCCCAAAGTTGGCGATTCTGGGTTTGATCCTGTGGTTAGGGTGTGGCTGTTGCCTCTCCAATTTGTAAAGACAGAGTTTCCCATTGCAATTAGCAAATAGTCTATGGGGTGATAACTCAGCACTGTGTGAGCGTCCTGTTCGCCATTAACCTTTGATCCAATGATTTCAGCATCCACGGACGATCCTTGCCTGAGTCAGTTATTTAATTGGGAGTTGCAAAAAAAAGTGATTTTCTAACTCCATGATTCTTTCTATATTTATTAGCTGGCAGCCTTCTTTAAAAAAAAAAAAAGCTTATCAACTGGACTACATTACATCCTATAAAGGCAGAGTAAATATTTTATTATTTTCCTTAAATATCATTGTTTAGAGTATGGAACTGGCTTAATAGTTATCACTAATACTGTCAAATGAGTATTTTTCCCCCTCTTTTTTTTGAATATCATTATGGACTCATGGCTGTTTTTTAAATCCAATATCTTAATTATTGTGATTCTTCATTTTTTTAATGAGATATAATTTACATACCATAAAATTCACTCTTTTAATATATACAAGTCAGCATTTTAAAATTATTAACAAAATTATGCAACCTCCACTACTATCTAATTCCAGAATATTTTCATCAGCCCAGAAAGAAGGCCTGTACTCGTTAGCAGTCATTCACTATTTCTTCCCCTCAGCGCCTCGCCACTGTAATCTGCTAGTTCTGTCTCTCTGGATTTGCCTGTTCTGTACATTTCATATGAATGGAATCATACAGTATGTGGCCTTTTGTTTCTGGTTTCTTTTATTTAGCATAATGTTTTAAAGTTCATTCATGTTGTAGTAATTCATTTCCTTCTTATGGCTGAATAATATTCCATGGTATGGATGTGCCACATTTTGTGTATCCATTCATCAGTTGATGAATACATAACATTTTACATGAATAATTTCCATAGCTTTTCCACTCAAATGAGCATTTCTTGTTTTAAGTCAGGTAGGGTAAAACGTGGACCTGAGTTTGGTGACTACATTTATAGCCAGTGGTTCTTCTTCCATTTGTTGCAGTCTAATGCTTGCATGCTATGCGGGACACCTAGAGGTTGTGAAATATCTCCGAAGACATGGTGCTTCTTGGGAAACGAGAGACCTCGGAGGCTGTACGGCTCTGCACTGGGCTGCAGATGGAGGCCACTGCAATGTGATTGAGTGGATGCTAAAGGACGGCTGTGAGGTACGGGATCTTCCTTAATAACTACACACGCATTGTTAAGAACCTGAAATGCTGTTCCACAGGGTTTAGGAGAAGCAGAGCCTTATCTGAATGCCTTTGATTGGTTGAACTTAGAAATATTGGAGAGAGTTCTCTGACTTCTCAGCAAGAAGGTTCCTGAAGCTTGGAAAAAAAGATCTTTATAGAATTGATATGATAGTGTGGCTTCAGATTGTCATCAAGTTTCATTTCATATGGGAAAAAAGAAACCATGCTGAATCCAGAGCCAGCCCTGACACTTCTTCTACTTTGTTTCTTTTGTTCATTTACTCATGTATCTCTTCATTCAATCTGTCAACAGAACTTTATTGAGCATCTATACCAGATACTGTCTTAGGTGCTGGAGACACAAAGATGTTAAGAACTCTTACAGTGCTTCTTGTTGCTTTTAGAATTCGATTTTTTTAATTCTGGGGTACAAAAATTTCCAAACAGCAAACTATATCATGAATAGAGCATTTCAGCTCTTAGTGTCTTTACCTCAAAGCAGGCATGTTGGTCTGCTTTTGGTTTCACGTTATCAGAAAGTACAAATTTAACTTAGCAAATAGAACTGGAGTTGTTTGGATTTCTGTAGAGAGTTGAAGATGGGTAAATAGAATTAGCTCAATTATGGTAACTGCTGATAACTTTGAAACCTTTAGTTCAAGACTTGAAAAAAGTGAAAGATTTCAAGGCATGGAAATAATCATGAAAAAATGCTGTTCTAATTGTGATTGTCAGATGGTGTAGAGTATTGAGAAATTAAATTGATCACACTGGAAAATAAACTCCAATTGAGAGAAGTCATGTTAGTGGATTTGTTCTAGTTTGTCTCTGAAGTGTGACTGAAGGAAAGCAAGGCTTATGTCATGGGATCTCAGTGGTTCCTGCCACCGCTTTCTGAGAGCTGAGAGAAGGGCCCCTTGAAGGAAAACCCGCGGTCATTAAGATAATCCCTTTTTATTACATTTCTCGTTTTCCTTGTTTTAGGATTAGCATGTGGGCCTGGTGCAGGGCTGGGACACACCTGCCGTGTGTGGTAGTGAAACCACATTCCCCTCGTTTGGTTTACGATGAATCCGCTCATGCTTTGGACTCGGTACAAGTCTATAGTTGAAAATGAAGGTCGACCTTTGCTGAAAGAAGGGCAGGTCTCTGCCACGGACATTTAATGCTGTAATTTTGGAAACTTAGGTTCTCTGGGTTTCAGATATGATCTCACTTATTTGGGGGTAAATTCCATCTTTTTTCTGTAGCACCGAAGCTACGTGAATGTGTCCACTAAAGGTTTCTGTGTGGCTGGCTGGTGGCAGATAGACAGTGTCAACATGAGTCCTTCCAGGTTCTGGGCAGATGGTTCACCTGACGCTTTGGAAGACTGGGAGCGATTTGGGGGGTGGGGCATTGCGGCCATGCTCTTCTCGAATTTAATTTTTATACCGAGAGTGACTGATTGACTTGCGGGAAACCATTTCTACATTTAATGAACCATGTGACCTCAGGAAAGGCATTTGACTTCCCTGAGATTTGGTTTAATCACTTGTAAACCAGGAATAAAAATACCTACCCCTGCTTAACCCTTAGGACCAAAGGAGAAAATGTGCGTGAAAGAGCATTGAAACTGTATAAAGCACCATGTAATAAAAGGTGATGATGTGTTATTATTTGAACATGGTGGAACTTGCTGCCTGAATATTCTTTGTTCTTTGCATGAGGAAAAACTGCAAATCCTAACAATGTTGCAGCAGATAATCTCATACATGCAAATTACCTGAAATATCTCAAGGACCTACTGGCAGTTCCTTGTTTGTTATTACATTCTGATGTTTTACTAAAGCTACAGACATCTTTGAGTAATTTCTGTAACACAATTAGATTTGTGTGTGTGTGTGTGTGTGTTTGTGTGTGTGACCGTCTGTGCACACGTGTGTATATTTACTGCAGTAACACTCTTCGTGGACTGATGAGGTCTTCATTGCAATTCGAGGTGGCAACATTTACATTTTCCTATTCTAAAATATATCTTTTAAAACAGTAAATTGAGAGATCTCCATTGTTGGGTTATTGGGTAATAACCATTTTATTCCTAGGCAGACTATGTTTTGGAGAAGGCATTAGGCTGCCTAACTTTTCAGATTGGAATTGGTGTAATAGATCTGGTTGCTTTGTATTTACCTATATGTCTCGTTTAAAATTAATACATATTGATAAGTAAAGAGTGTGTGTAATATTTACTGCCTTTTTCCAGAAAGGATTTGAAGCTGCTTACAAAGATATTTAAAAGTAAGCAAAATAAACTTTATTACAAAAATAGGTTAGGAAAGTTAGTTAAGAGAAAATAAGGTAGGGAGTTCACTTGGAGCCAGGAGTAAGGTGATTCTGTTTAATTCATTTTTCTATCCCCCTTTTTTTCCATTTAAACAAAATGTAGATGCAGATGCCAATGGGGAGTCCTGGGGCCTCTAAGCACCCCGTCAGGTGATCCTAGATTCTCACCGCATATAAATGTGAATTGAATTAGCACAGTCCACTCAACTCTTACCAAGTCTAGAAAGACTGCTATCTGAACCAGGGGAATTTGGGCCAGTAAACATTCCTCTGTAAGTTTCTGATGAATGCTTTCAAGGAAAAGGAACTGGACTAAGAGCAGCTCTTCCTTTGACATAACAGGTGGATGCTGTGGACACTGGCTCAGGGTGGACCCCACTCATGCGAGTCTCTGCAGTCTCAGGAAACCAGGGGGTTGCCTCTCTGCTAATTGACGCCGGAGCAGACGTGAATGTGAGAGATAAAGATGGAAAGACCCCTCTAATGGTAAACAGCCTGGCTTTATGTGTGGAATTAAGGTCAGGGCTGCTTCGATGCTTACGCAATTCTTGTGAGTTGAGCTGTGTATGAGCCCCGGGTTTCGGTTGCCTCAGATATTCCCTGTCGGCCTGTTAATAAAGGCATGGCAATGTCACTGTGATGCTTTTGTCTTCTTTTTACAACTAGTCCTTTAAGGATTACCAACCCCAATCCCCAGGGCCATTGTAGAATCAAAACAGATCTGTTAAAACAAAGAATGTGCTACTTTCTGTCCTGGTCTGGCCTAGCAGTTCTCATGTCATTTTAATGTGCAGAAAGGCAGCTTCCATTTCCATTCTCTTTGCAGTTGTCATTGCTGTAGAGCGAGAGGATACAGGTCTGTCATGCAAAGCCCCAGTAGCTGGCTGGCTCTGCCTTCCTGAGGATGCTGCTGAAGGACTGACTGGACCTGTCTGTACTGGGCCCACCTTGCGCCTGCCTGTGCCCCCTGCTGGGAGGGGTGAGCTCACTCACACCCCTACTGATTTTTGTTTTTTAGGTGGCCGTGTTAAATAATCACGAAGAGTTAGTCCAGTTACTTCTTGACAAAGGGGCAGACGCAAGTGTAAAAAATGAGGTAAATAACTCCACCTTTATCTAAAGTTCTGCCCTGGAGAGAAAGAACATATATATGATACAATTTTGGTTGTTTTCTCTTTCAGTTTGGCAAAGGTGTCCTAGAAATGGCCAGAGTTTTTGACAGACAGGTCTGGATGTTCTTTCTACCTCTCAAGGCTGATTTTGTAGTAATTTTAAAATTAAAAAAAAAATACAACCAAAACCTTGGATCACATTCAGCTGTTTTTGTTTATCTAGAATGTGGTCTGCTTATTAGAAGAAAGGAAAAAAAAGCAAATGCCAAGGAAGTCGTCTCTCCGCACACCTGGGCACCACTCACCGCCAAGCCAAGTGAGACAAAGCAGAAGGTGACTGTTGAACCAGAGGGAGGAAACTCCGCATCTTGGAGGGTTATATATTTGATTATTTATGTAGTTGAAGATTCACGGTGACTTTTGTAATGTACAACTCGTCCCACTTGGAAATACATCTTTTTACCTAAGCACGTCGACTGTGGTGTCATCACTGGGCGTCTGCAGGATGGGGATGTTTTCTTGCACTTGTGCCTTTTGGAGTTAGACGTGAAACAAAATATTTATGTACTGGAGCTGCGCAAACATACATGGGTCTCCCACTTCCCGCTCCTGCCCCCCAAGCTGTCCTCTGAGCCACTCCAGACCCTTGTGGAAATTCTTTCCCTCATGTGTTTCCAATTATGTCCTCCCTCCCGACTTAAGGCCTTCCAGGCTGTGTTGTCAGGCTGGTGTGACGCTCCTCCTGAAAGCCCAGGAGGCCACGTGAAAAGTTTTCTCCTCAGCTGTTGGCCTCACATCAAAGCGCAACACACATATTTCAAGACTCCGATCCTGCTCTATTAGAGGTGTCTGCTGGAGGGTCAGTCTTTTCAGAACAGACCTGTCTGAGAATGTGTTTGCATGTACTTATGCCCTGACAATGAAAGACCCGGCCCGCTGGCATGTTGACGGCTTTGCCAAAGAGTAGGATATTAAATTTAGCCTTCGGAGCAGAAAGGTTTTTGATGCTGATCACGCAGTTTGGAGACAAGTAGGAATTAACCGCAGCTAGTCTGCTGGTTGGGAGCTTAGAAACAAACGTGGGGGCGGTTTAACTAGCAGACACACTCACAAATCAGCAAAGGGAGCGAGCAGACCACATGCATTTTCTCTCTCTGGAGACAAGCTGGTTAACTTGGCCCCATGAGAAGACCAGCTCCAAAGGTCTGCATGAAAGTGACATTTTCTCTGTAAAGAAACACCAATTAAAAGGTAATTAAAGCACCAGATCTTTGGGGGGAAGGGCATAGAGAAAAAGCACACAATCATTTTTATTGATGTTGACAATTCTCAGCTTCTTTCCATCGAGTTTATAGCATATCCACCTTAGGAACTGGATTTGTAGGTCATATATAGTCCTCTCATTAGATGTCTCTTTAGTGTTTTACCTTTTGTACAAATGCATATCCCTTTAAGTTTGCTAGATTAATCTTTTAAACTTCTCTAAAAATTAGAGCATAGTCACAACTTTCCAAAGCCCTTTTCTCCCCATGATCAGTGTTGACATTGCCCTCAATTTCATTTCGTGGTCTGTTGTAGACCATATTCACCAACCCCTGTGTGGGAAGAGGGCACATCCCTTCCTGTGGGCCTCAGGCTTGGCCAGAAAATGGGGCTGACTTTGGACAGTGAAATGTGAGTGGAAATGGCTTCTCCCCTCTGAGCAGAAGTTTTAAGAATTCCAATCTCTCTCTCTTCTGCCCCAAGACCGGCTGTGACTCACATGGCGGCTGTTCCATCAGTCCAGGTCCCCAAGAGGAACCAAAGCTCACCCAGATTGGATGTGATGTGTGAGTAAGAAATAATCCTTGCCAGTTGTAAGTCACTGAAGTTTAAGAGTGGTTTGAACGACTGCTTATAAGGTCCTATCATATATTTGTGAATTTGATTTTCTAGAAATGGCACGAGCAACTCTCAAGTCCTATAGTTTCCAGTCTTATTTTATTCAGATTTTTAAAAACCCAGGAACAGATATTGAATTTTATCAAATGTCTTTTTAGCATCTCTGGTAATCATGATATGGCATATTTCCCTACAATCTATCATTGTGGTGCCTTGGATTATTAGATTTTTATATATTGAACCATCCTTGTAATCCTGGGATAATCTCACTGGGTACAGTAGACTGCTTGACTCTATATACACATGTGCTATGTGTATCTGCTTTTTATCTTTTTTTCCTTAATGAGATTAGATGATGGTCTCTTGTTTTAATTTTCCCAAAGAAGCAACCCATGGTTTTATTCATTTTATTTTTTCCAATTAGTTTATACTTTTTATTTCTACAAATTCATTCCTTTCTACTTTTCCCTAGATTTATTTTTTTGTTCCTTTTGTAAATTTTTATGTTGGATATTAAATTCATTTTTATCATTTTTGTTTATTAATATATAAATTTATGGCTATGAATTTCCCATCAGCATTGTGTGTGTTGTATTCCCATAGAAGGTTTCCTAAACTTTTCTGATGAAAAGATTTAATTGGGGATACTTTCTAAACACAAATTTCTAGGCCCCATCTCAGACTCTCTGAATTGGAATCTCAAGGGAAAGGACACGAGCAATGGGTTTTAATCAACATCACAGGTGAGTTCTTGTAATTCAAGGTGTCTGAGAAACAGTCATAGAGTGTGCTGGTACAAATGGTTTCATTTGCTGTTTGCTAGATAATTTGCAACTCATCTCTGACTCAAGAATCATTACATTTCTAGACCATGGAATTGTCTTTCTACTCGGTGCCTTATAATCTTGAGAACTTTTACCATTTAGAATTTGAGTTTTACTTTGTGGCTTAATATACAAAATTACATGTGTATAATTTTTTTTGTCTGGAGGCACTTGGAAAGGAGGTATATTATGTTTGAAGTATCTCATCTGATATATCAATTTTATCTACATTATTAACTATGTTTGGGGTCTTCTATGTACTTATTTTTTTGCCTACTTTGTCATGGGTGGGTGGGGGTAAGAGTAAAGACCCCTTGTTACCATTTTGTTTATTTTTCTTTGTATTCTCTACAGTTCTTTATGAAGTTGGATGCTATTTTAAAAAAAATGTGTAAATAGATTTCCATTACACTCAGATTTTTATTCCAGGTAAGTCTGATGTAAACGTTTATACCCTTGCTTGCTTGCTTTTTGAATTTATATCTTCTGTACATAAAGTAAGCTAAAAAAATTGTTTCGATAGGTTATGCATTCACACTGTTCAAAAAAAGTCTCAGGTTTCTCTCCCCCGCCGCCACCCCAGTGTATGTGTGCAAAGGCATCTTCTTCCCTCTGGTCCCTGACTGGTCCGTATGAATTGCAGCATGCATCCCCTGACCCCCAAGCTCACTCACTGTTCCTCTTAGTTTCTTACGTACTGTTCCAAAATGTCCTTACGCATCTATAAGTGGATGAGGATATAGGTACAAAAATGGAGGGGGGATCCTCCTGTAGAAAGATGTAACATTCTCAGTAATGAATGAGACATGTCTTTATATTTACCTGTATACCATTTATTGGATATAATATTCTTAACAATGACTTTTTCTATGGAAATAGCAGGTTGTGTTACCTGGAGAACCCCAATATGAGAAATGTGTACAAATGTTAACAGACTGTAACATAAAAATGTATGTGAAAATAATTAGCAAACCAAAGCATTATAAATGGATGAAGCACTATGAAATTAATGTGCTGGTTTAGTAGCTGTAACTTTGTACTGTGCTGAATAGCCTGGAGCCTGGTTTTATGGAGTTACACTTAACAGTTGCCACACACATTCAGACAATGGGCTTTCCCTGCAACCTCCCAATTTGAGCTGGTAGAAGGCACAAGAGGACAGCTAGCTCTGCCACTACTTGTCCTGCTTTGGACTCTTGGAGGAATTTTTTGTCTTTCTAATTTGATGTATTTTTTTTTCTATTACCGCCCTACTTAAGTACCTGCTTATAGGCCATGAACATAGACGTCATTCCACTTCTTTGTAAAACTAAAATGATCACATGGTATTCTTTTTTCTGGATTTAAAACACACTCAATTGAGGACTAGATTATTTTATGGAGGGAGAATCACAGGAAGAACCTAGGACATGCTTTTTGAAGCTGATGTGGGAAATGTGAGTGACAGAGCACGCGATCTGGAAGCGCCGAATGACACTGAGAATTCCTTTAATCGTGTTAAGTCTTCTGGCTGTCACTCTCCATTATTGAATATTATAATAATTTTATATGCAGAGTTTCTTCTCTTAGTTTTTTCTCATGAAACAGGCTCTGACGGGCTGGATTATAAGCTGCCACTCCTGCCCCAAGAGTAAAGAGGGGGGTTTCTTTACGGAAAGCGGGGAGGCAGTTCATACATGTGTAGGTAAATGGCTTCTGGAAGCATCCTCACTGCACAGAAACGGTTCTCAGCCTGGGGCTCACGAACCTTTCTTAGTGTGTTACTTGTATCACTATCAGAGTTTTCAAATAGGTTTAAAAGAAGTGGATGTCAATAGGAACTGCAGAGTGAGTCAAGAGAATTTTGCAATCATAGATAAACTGACTTTCGATGGCTAACTCCTTCTTCCAATTAGAATAAGTCTAGGTGGGGGCTCACTGGGGGCGTGATATGTCTGTGGGAGGGACTCTGCTGGATTCACGGCCAGTGGGGTAGATGGTGGGGTTGCTCCGTACTGCAGCCCTGGAGAAGGTTGGACTTTGGGTGTCCAGAGGGTGGACTTGCAGGGGCAGCCACACGCTGCAGCAGTCACCGCTTTGGCTGATGTGAAGTGGCCATGAACGCAGAGATTTGGCAGCGATTGGAGAGGCATCAGCCCTGGGTTTGGCCTGGAAAAGGGACTTGTGTCTGGGTGACCAGGAGAGGCAAACGGATGTATCTGTGTCCAGATGTGTTTATGGGCCTGCTCATGAGTCTAGGGGAGTAAGTGTGGCAGCATAGGACTGGCCTCTGTGGTGCTGGGGAGGAGAAAGGATGGTAGCCGCAACATTCTCCACCAGCCAGCCATAGGGTGTGAAAGCCACAGCCTGAGAGTCAACCTGGGGGTCACCACTGGCATTGGGAGATGTCTGGGCGGGTTGGTGTAATGTTCACCTGGGTCACTTGTGTTTGGCTGCAGTCATTTTGGTAGCAATGAGGGAAGATCTTCTGAGCAAGTCTGCCTTGGTCTTCCTCCGCCCAGAACTCCTAGGGGAGCCCTCCATAGCACAAGTTTTAAACGAAATAAGCCTCACAAGGAAAGACTGCAGAAGGGTCAAGTCGCAGGAGAAAGATCCAGCCCAGCTGCCCAGGCATTGCGCCCTTTCACTTGTCAGGGTCTCATTGGCTCAGAGTGCTTAGTAAACATCAGTTGGGAGATGGCAGGAAGATGCTCGGGCACTCTAGCTGGCCCAGCATCAGGCTCTCTTTAGCACCATGGGAGAGCACAGGCTCCCAAGAACAGTCTGACACAGATCTCAGCGTTTTTGCTGTTTTTCTTTTAGGGGATATATTGATGTATTGTATTGATTTGCCAGAGAACAATGGCCTTATGGTTTCAGCCTGAGAATTCCTAATAAAGTTAAGAAGGCATAAAAATGTCCCCTCTGAGACTAGTCAGGAGTATTTATTCTCATGTAGTTTAATTTGTTGCTTTTGTGGTTTCCGTGATGTCATCCCACATGTGTAAGCTGGAAGTGTAACCCCTGTGTACATATTTTGACAATGGAAAATGTTATGCATTGTTTCTCTTGGTTGCTACACATCTGATTCCATGTGTCAGGAAAACAAACTGTTACAAAAAATTTCATGAAATGGACTTTTAAATAGAATGCCTGGAACACTAGCCATATACTTCCCAGTAAAGTGGAATCAGATAACCTACAACGATAAGACAATGAAGGAAGAAAAGTGACTAGCCTCAGGGCCTACTTTGCGTCTGAGCACCTTGACTTGCTCAGTGAAGGCCTTATAAACTCAAATCAACTCTATTATTCATGCCTATAAAATTTAAAAACATATTAAAAATAGACTGCCATTGAAATATAAGTATTTATTTTTGTTTCCGTCATCTATGAGGATATAAAAAGGGGGAGGAATAACTCCCTCCCCCCAAAACCTGGCTATTGGTTCCTTTCCTAAGTTATATTATAATGGAAGTTATTGCTAAGTATGCTTCAGCTGCTAAATACTGCATCTTGGAAGTATTGTTCCTTTAATAATATCTGTGTATTATGAGGGGATATTAGGTTTAAATATGTTCTTATCCAGAAATAAATTGCATGGCTCTAAAAAAGCAATTAGTACTGTAGAGATAAGAATGTGTCATCAGCCACAGCCCCTAAGTGGCCATTGATGACATGGTGTAAGATCACAGCATTAACTTCCTTTAATATCAAACGATTCCTGGTTCTCTGAAATAGAAGCACAGGAATTGTAACTAAGGACAGACACACACAAAGTCAGTTCACATCCTCTCCCCACAATAGGAGAAGGGGCACAAATGCCAGATCTAAGGATTTGGGCAGCTATAAAGACAATACCCACATAATGCACCATAAAAATTCTGTAAACTTTTCAATAGTATATGTTTTGGCCTTAATACAATTATATAATATCAATTACAGTAATTCTGTATGTACTCATCAGCAGTAATATTTTATAACATGGCTTTACATTTTTAAGACATTAATAATTGTATAATAAACAGATGCATGCTATAAGAATTGGAATGTATTAGAGCTGGGTTCCCTTTTGTGTGTGTTTTGTGATATGGATTTACTTAGTTTATCCACAGTCGTGAATACTATGTTGCCTAGATACTGCGGGGAACATGGGGAGGGCTAAATGCAGTCTTGTTTTCTGGAAGGCAAACCAAGATGCTTGGGACGTTTTGTCTTTCTGCTTCAAGGCATAGAAAAATCATTGAAATAACCCCAGATGAAGTGTTTATCATAACACACTCAGAGTGAATTACGGAACTCTTGTCAATTGCCTCCTAATGTGAAAACTAGTCACATATGACCCCACGAAGACGAGAGGCATAATGGCATTTTACCTTGTCTGTTTTTTTTGTAATTTTCATGCCATTAGATACAGGCGTCTTCAAGATCTTGTGAAAACGGCTTCCCCATCAGACCTTTGAAGAGTAAAAGGTTGAAGGGGCTGCTGCCCAAGACTGCATTTTATGAATATTTAGGATCAGGAAATTGATTTCCTCATCACTTTCTGTGATGCTCAACAGGTAGGTTGCGAGTGTTTAAGAAATAGATTCACTTTATGCTAAAAACATCTTCTCACGGTTCCTGCAGCCAAGCTGGGAAAATAGGATGCCCCAAAGACAACTTACTAATAACTCATGGTTCTTTGTCCAGCATACACTAATAAGGAAAGCAGACATAGCCTACACCAACAAACACAGCATTCCATTTGGTTGTAGCTTTTGCAAGCCTAGGGATTCTGGCTAATTTTTAATAAGTTGAACCTTGCAATAAAAGGAGACTTTTATCAACAGAATTGATTCACTAGATCTGGTTACTGGTTCACATCTGAAAATAGTTATGGTCCCATGGAAAGCCTCATCTATCTGTCTGAACACAGGATCACTGTATTCCAGCAGAGAAGACATGGTGGTAATTTGCTTAGCCCCAAACGGCACGGGGAGGTGGAGGCGTGCAGGGCCTGGGCAGCAGCTTTCTTGCAGAAACACCACCTTTTCCCCACCTCAATAAAGCGCTGATGCCAGCACTCTGTAAAGGGCAGCCAGGAAAAGAAGTTCATGGTGTTTCCGTAAAGCAAACTTCTTTGCCTGCTCTCCAAATGTGCTCCTGGCTGGTGAGCCTCCAGGTCAGGAAGCCCCTGGCTCTGGCCTGAGATCAGGGGTTCCAGAAAATCACTCAGGGTTCTACCTGGGGTCTCCTGAGCTGTGTCCAGTACCATAACCAGAGCCATGAGTAGCCGGGGAGCTGCTCTCCAATAAAGCCTCAAGCCAAAAGTAAACATCCTGTCCAGAATCCCATAAAGCACGATATTTCAAGTTCACAACTATTAAAAGCACAAGAAGCCTTCCTTCCGTGGAAAACTCAGTGATGGTAAAAATGCCTACTACAGCGCACTGCACTGTAACAGGCATTCGGCATAAATTAATAATTTACAAGTACCTGAGCAAGTATACAGAGCACCATAGCACAGCACAGCACCGACGGCAGTAGCTCAAAGTTCTTAAAATAATGGTGTTTTAAACATTAAAAAAAATTCTAAAAGTTGGTACAAAAACTAACTCCAAGTGGAGTTGAAAGATAGTGCAAACTTCTGTCTTCACTGTTGAAAAAAGGTGTTGGCTTGCGTCTCACTTGATATAGGCGGTGTGGGTGGGTCTGGGCACTTGATGTGGATGTTTCGGAGCAGGTCTGCATCAAGAGCAATCGAGAGAGAGGGAAAAACAAGATTGTAGTTAGAGACCCTGGAAGCGATTTCTGCAGATACAGACCTCGAGGTTGGAGCTGTCTTGCCCCGCACTCTGACGTGCTTCCAGACTCAGATTCCACCATGTTGTGTCCCCATTCCCCCGCTCTACCCCACCCCCCCGGCCCCATACTGGGTGCTGGACTCTGCTCTTGCTTTTGGCAGGGGTTGTAGATCCCATAAGGGACCTTGCTCAGGGCGACAGGATTTCCAGCAGTTTGACGACCACTAAAGGAACCCTTTCCAAAGCCGCAGCTCCCATCCACAGGTTGACTCTAGAACAGCGCCATTCAAGAGAAAAATGATGCGAGCCACAGATGTGAGCCACAGATGTAACTTTGTATTTTCTGGTAGCCACATGAAATAAGTAAAAAATAGGTGAAATTTTGGTAATAAATTTCATTTAACCCATTATATCCAGAGTAGTATTTCCATATGTAATCAACATAAAAATTATTAATGAAATAGTTGACATTTTGCAGGTCCTAAGTCTTCAAAATCCAGTGTGCATTTGCACTTACAGCATATCTCACTTTTTTTTTTTTTAAGATTGGCAACAGTTGTTAGCTCAGGTGCTAATCTTTCTTTTTTTCCCCCCTTCTTCTTCTCCCCAAAGCCCCCCAGTACATAGTTGTATACTATAGTTGTGAGTGCCTCTGGTTGTGGCATGTGGGACGCCGCCTCACCATGGGCTGATGAGCAGTGCCATGTCCATGCCCAGGATCCAAACCAGAAAAACCCTGGGCTGGTGAAGCTGAGTGCGCGAACTTAACCACTCGGCCATGGGGCCGGCCTCCAGCATATCTCACTTTTTGCCAGCCACAGTGTGCTGTGGCTACTGTATTAGCACAGTTCCAGGGAGCAAAGCCAGGCATTTGGGAGCCCTCAAAAATGAATGTGCAGAGCATTCTTCCCCTTCCAGGACAAGATCAAAACCGGCTTGCACTGGTGTCAGCAACTGGCAGAGGGCAGACCACTGCTTGAGGGCATTTAAAAAGGGGGCCTTCCCTTCTTCATGTCCATGTCAAATGGTGCTTTTTCTTTTGAACAAGAAAAGTAACTTCAAGATCAGCAGACAAACCACAATGAAATAATTAGGATGCTCTGCAATTTGTCTGCATCTCTGCATCAGGAATTAAACCACTGTCCTGACCTTTTGACTGGCTTTATCTCTGAGATTTATTAGGCAGCTATCCTTTCACAGGCCAAACATTTTTCCCAAAAGCTGTAATGAAATTACTAATGTGTGCCTTCCCCTTCAGAGATGCTGAATTACTGAACCCAGGGCCTGGCCAACACACACTATCTTTGGTTCTTTTGAGCTCATAAAGCAAGCTTCCTGCCAGGGGGGCATGCGTGTTTGCAAGGGTGTTTTGGCTGAGGGTTTAACCCATCTGTGTGCTGGGAAATGTTTAACCACCCACTGTGGGGGAGGAGGAGGGCCTGATCCATAGCATGTGCCTATTCCATGGTGTAAATGCTCAGGCTGCCGACATGATGGGACCGAATATGGAAGAGACGCACAGCAGCCACCATATGATAATGTTCCCACCACACAGAAATAAGAGATGTAACCTCGGGAGTGTAGATAGTAGTAAAACGTAGTTTAAAAGAATGGAAGTTGAGGAATTTTGAACATCTATTACATTTGTTTTTAATATAATTTATATCATTGTAATTTATATAATTTAATAGTGGCTAGGTTTAACACCGAGCTTGCAAAAATTCCTGGAAATTTAATAGCTCTCAAAAACCAGCGTGGGCTGGCTCCAGCACACCACCGGGTTAACCTCCCTGCATAAGTTCGGATGTAGGACTCGGCCTGCCTTGTCCTCTGTGGGACAGCGTAAGAGAGGACCACATCTGGAGAAACATGTTTAAAGGTGATGCCTCTTGTCAGTTGGGTAAAGAAGCTCCCAGTTACCAGGTCTTCACCTCCTGGCAGCTTCTTCAGTCTAACTCCTTATGTTGCTCTTGCTTCATCTCTGGTCCTCCGATGCCACCTCCTTTCTTGGTACCCCAGGGATTGGGCAGAGCCTATGAAGGACTAAGTGAGGTTATTTTTGAGGTATGTGTCTAGCCTTCATAAAATCGCACCACTTGGGGGCTGGCCCCGTGGCCGAGTGGTTAGGTTCGCGCTCTCCGCTGCAGGCGGCCCAGTGTTTCGTTGGTTCGAATCCTGGGCGCGGACATGGCACTGCTCATCAAACCACGCTGAGGCGGCATCCCACATGCCACAACTAGAAGGACCCACAACGAAGAATATGCAACTATGTACCAGGGGGTTTTGGGGAGAAAAAGGAAAAAAAAAAAAAATCTTTAAAAAAAAAAAAATCGCACCACTTGGTATGTTTTCTTCATCCCTTTGCGCGAGAGGGCCTGACCCGTATCCACAGCCAGCGCTTTCTGAGGTACCTGGTCCAGTTCCACTTGACGTGCTCTCTTCCCTACACTGAGGCCATTGCTAAGAGCCACATGGCGATGCCTGTGATTATAAACCCATGTCTGCCGCCTGGTTATTGTTCTACCTGCCCTTGGATCTATTTTATATTGTTCCCGGAGTGGGGAGTGCAGGAAGCATGGGCTAGACCACACCCTACTCCTCCCACGTCCTGAAATGGTTTGAAAAGCATGGCTCCGCACAGTTCGGGGGAGATGGACATGGCTGTGTCACACCAACCTGAGGGGCGCCAGGCGGACCCCGGATTCCTGCTGTCCCAGGGTCCTGGCTGAGACATTGGTGAGCCGGGTCGTCTTGTTCAAAGGATCTGCAGGCAGAGGCTTCTGAGGAGGGTTTGGCTTACGGGTACCCTACAATAAACCACAAGATTATTCATGATCACTCATCTCTGAGAAATGTGACAAGGCATTGACCTCAGGAGCCATCAGAGTCCCCTGAAAAGCGGGATGTGGAGAATGCTAAGTTGCTGTGTGGCACAAGTTTCATTTCCCTAGCAAACTTTCTGAATACAATCTTCTACCCGGACAAGTGGCGGTGATTGTGGGGGGTTGACCTTTGTTAATCTTCTTGACAGTTTATTTATTTATTTATTTATTTGCTGAGGAAGATTAGCCCTGAGATCACATCTGTGCCAGTCTTCCTCCACTTTATATGTGGGATACTGCCACAGCATGGCTGACAAGTGGTGTAGGTCCATGCCCGGGATCTGAACCTGCGAACCCAGTCCACTGAAGCAGAGCATACTGAACTTAACCACTATACCACAGGGCTGGCCCCTTCTCTAACTTTTAAGAGATTTATCCATAGCATCATATAGTTACAAACACTCAAATGCGGGCCTTCAGATGCCATGCTGTTCACAGGCATCAGGAGTATGGTTGATGCTGCTGTTTCTGGGCCAATGCTACCTAGCGGATGTAAACTTTCCTGTGTCTTTAGGCTTCTTTTCAATTTGTAAAGGCCTAAAATGAGAGATTGGTGGAAATCTTTTCAATCATCACATTCATTTCTTCAAATTTCCCAGAATCATATAACAGGACTCATTCAACCCTGGATGAATTAGCTAACAAGGCCGATCATCCTTCATCACTGCAGGGTCAGTGTACCAAAGGCTCATCCAGAATGCTCGATGAAAGGCACTAAAGTTCTTCTACCAAAATGCTTTCTAATAGTTAGTTCAAAGAATCACAAACTCACCTGGGAAATGATGCCCAGAAGGAGAACCCAAGACACAGTGGTTTGAGAGACAGGTATAGCTCTGTAGGAAGCTAATGGAGCAGGAGCTGTGTTGACCAGAGACCAGCGAGGGAGTCAGTGATAGAAGAGCATGAAGGGCAAGCATGAACCTGGGATAATACCCAGAGGACAACTCCCAAGACCATTTCTCCGGGTTTTATCCAAAGACCAATGCTTTGGAAATTACGCAAAGCCACCTGAGCTCTCTGAACCTCAATTTCTCCCTCTTTAAAATGGGAGAAAACAGGACCTATCTCATAGCTTGTTATGCGAACTAAATAAAATGCAAAGGAAGCTCCCAGAACATAGATAATAATTATTAAAAACTCAGCATTCCCTCATGCCACAAATTTTAAAATGCTTAATGGAAATATGAGAAAAACAACAGGAACAGTATAACAGTAAAACCACAAGTCAGTTGTTTTCCTGGACCCCTCCCTTGGCTACCCGTGAGATGGAGGTGGGGCAGGTTCCCTGGAGCTGGGTTGGGAAGTAAGTGTTGACAGCCCTCTCCTCTTGGGCCCAGGGTGAATAAAGATGCCAAGACACCTCCTCCTCTTGTCCTCTGAGCCTAGAAGCACTCACGAATGCATGGAAAGTCTGCAGGAAATGGTGCTAGAACCTCAAGGGAGACAGGACATCCTAAGAAGCAAATGACCTAATTCATTGTCATAGACGCAGTGTTCCATGCATCCAGGAACACTCAGGATGATTTTAAAACACTTGAGTTGAACTTCTCACACTACTTACCCCACGAAAATTACACTTCCTCGGCAATCGGGGCTCAGTTGAAAGAATGCAGCAACATAATCACCATCTAACATATCTTTGTAAAGCAAAGGAAGCTACCCGAGAAGTCTGTAAACCACAGCTGTATGGAAAACATGCCAAGTTGGAACGATGGGCAAATTGGAATAGGAAAGAGCCACTGAACAGGGACAGGCTTAAAAGTGACATTCTACATCAGTTCTCACTTAAGGAAACATTGACCGGCTGTAAAATATAAAATAGAACAATTTCCTTAACTAGGATTAAAGGCCATCGAATGTGCCTGAGCGTGAGCCCTGAAGTCAGGCCGTTTGCGTAACTCAACCAGGCCCCGCTCTTGCCAGCCCTGCGAGTTTGCGCTTGTTATTTGACTGCTTTATGTTGTAGAGAGGAGATGATAATAGTGCCTTCTTCATGGGGTTGATGTGAGGATTGAGATATTACTTGTAAATCTCTTTACCTAAGTTAACCACTGTGAGCACAGAGCCTGGCTCCCAGTGTCCACTGAGTCAGTGTTAGCTGCCACTGCTCTACTGCGGCTACTATTGATGGAGTGAGTGTACCATTTAAAAGTACCGTAACCCTACCAACAAATTTTGGGTAATAAACTATGGCAATAAATCAAGCTGCATGTCCTATAAGGTGGTGGAAAACTATGAGCAAGATATTAATGTGTAATGTAAAAATGAATGCATGGGCCTGTAAAATTGAAAGGCTTTGAAGATTAAATAATTCATCACTAAATGATACTAGTTTTGCTGCTAAGTATGAATAAGTAGCTAGTCTTGACAATAAAGATAACGTCAGGTTTTTATTGCAATGCTGGAGAAAAAGAGGTATATGTTACAATGAATCACAATATATTTGGATTTATCACGGAAACTTAGGAGATAATTAGGTTGGCCATTTATTCTGGTTTGCCTGGGACATTCCCAATTGATGTTTACAGCCCTGTTTAATTATTAATCCCACTCTCTTAGATGTGTCCTGGTTTCCAGGATAAATTATATGGTCACCATAGTGATAAAAGCCCAAACAGTCGAGATGTTGATTGAAAGTTCTGACTTCAAACCCAGGGATCAGCAAAGGTATCATTCTGCTTCCTCCTGCCATGCCAGGAGATGGTTTGATGGAAACATGAAACAGGTCACACAGATGCTGCCAGGATAAGGTGCCAGCTTCCCACCAGGCCTAACTGGGACAAAATAGCCCAGTGGCACATGGAGTTGGTGACACATGGTGCATCCACACTTCTCAGATGTCAGGCGTACGGAGATAGGGAAACTTCTGGGAAGCTGCACCTGCTCTGACCCTGGAGGAAGGGGTGGGATTTCCACACTCCTTCTTAGGCATTGCTTCTCATGCTGCCTTTGCAAAACCTGAACCTGGGCTTGCCCAGAGAAGTCCAGTCTGGTCCAGCCTGGCCACAAAGAGTCACCTGAAGGGACCTGAGAAATGACTCCAAGCCACATTGTTCACACCCAATAAATATTCCTTTAGACATATTTTCATTTTAAACAAGAAAATAAGGAATTCAGAACCCCATTTCTCTCCCTTTTCAACTTCTAGATATTGGAGAAAAATTGAGATATGCTATTAGTCAGGGTTGTCCCATTTCTCCATTTTCTGCTCATGTTCTAGCAATAGCTACATATTTCAAATTTTTTGAGGGTTGGGAACAAAGTTTTCAATCCAAATATAGCCTTTGCCTTAACCATCATCACAAAGAATTCTCAACTGTTATCTACTTGTGCATGATAAGCCAGAGTAAATGCATCCTGCTTATCCAGGGAGATCTCTGCAGAAACACCAGATATTATCACAGGAAAATGCCAGAGATGCCACAGAACTCCCGACAAGCTCACACAGTGCCAGGGGCAGCATAAACAGCACTCACTATCCATCCTTGGCCTGTCTCAGGCCCTGTGAGGAATATACACTTAGAGATAACACCAAGGACAACTGGTTCTCAGGGAAAGGCCTCAATTTCTTTTTATTCTTTATTCAGAAAAAACAGGAGTCTTAAAAATCTGCTCTTGCAAAAGAACATTCCTACGCCTATCCGTAAGATGACCCTGGCCCCTTATTTCTGAAACTACCTGAAAACAGTAAAGAAACTGTACAAAAATGAGCAAAACTCCATCTTTGAGGAAAACCTATAACCCCAAACGAATTTGTACGAAAGGGACCCAAAGTGTCCAGCAGGCTAGGGTAAGGAAAGACTATGAGGAAGGATGCCTGCCGTGGCCAACCTGGCAGAGGACAGAGGGGAAAACCAGTCACCCTTGCCTGGGGCAGGAGTGGGGAGTGAGCAGATACCATGATGTGTCAGGCTGAAAGAGAAGCAGCGCAGACGGGCCCAGCCCTCTGTGCGAGCCTGGGGCAGGGTCTGTGCTGAGAGCAGGGAAGGCCAGTTCACCGACATCACTCAAAGCCCTCTGTGCCATGGTCCCCCGAGAGGCGAGTGGACCGCGGGGAGCTGGTCCTGTGCACTGGCCTTGCTTTTCTCTTGACTGTCCAGCTCCTGGTTTTCCAGCAAGATCTCTTCCTCTTTAAAGGGGAGTTTAGACACACTAAACAAAAAAAGAAAGAGGAAGGAAGGGACCCTCATAAACAAAAGGCTCACTAAGAGCCTACCCTGCAAAATGTATACATGAGGAAACTAAAAGGGAGCTGGCGAAACTCAAGAGAAAAGGGGAAGAAAAAACACGACGATGAAAACCAAGGACCAGGACGGTGCTCCACACAGGGCTGTGGGCTCCTGCCTGACAGAGACGAGGACCAGTTCAAGGGGTCAGGCAGTAAGTGACCGGAAAGACCACAGACAAAAGGGATACAACGTACACCTAAACGGCGTCACGGAGCAAACTGAAAAGATAGAAAAAATACCCAGATTTAATTTGTAACAACTTTTCCGAAATAGGGTCAAATCCGTGGATTAAAGGGCACGCCGTTTCCCTGGGGAGAAGGAACATCAGATGGAGACTCTTCAGTGTTAGGGAATAACCTATGAAAGCTACTGGACTTCAAGAGTACAGAATCAGGTCACTCTCAAGGAACAAAGGAAGAGGCCAGCTTCTGAGTTGTCCAGAGCAGAGAGAGGAAGCACACGTAGAGGAGTTTCAGGGAAAGAAAGTGTGATTCGTTGATTTTATACCCACACTGCAGTCGAAAAATTAAAGCAACAGCTAAATGTCTTTGAACACGCAAACATTCAGGGAATATACTTTTCAAGAGCTCTTCTGGAAGGAATTACAATGGAGTGGACTTCAGCCAGCCAGGAGAAGAATGGATTGGTGACAAAACGATCATCAATGAGCATCGAATCCTTTCAATGTTAACAAAA